AAAAAAAACTAATCAAAACTAAAAAAATTATAAACAAGCACATGCCCTTAGGGTTTTGCCCATTTTTCTTTCTCTAGAAGAAGAGAGAAAGTTAAGACAGGTCTCGCGGGGTAGGTACATTGGAGGAGTATTTGATGACAAATCTTGTGCATGTAAAGTTGCGTGTAAAAGTAATAAAAAAGTTGTCATAGTAAAAATAGTACCATAACAGCCAACAAAAGCAATTTTATTTGGAAATGAAGAAGACTATAAAAGGAGGCATCATTATCACTCCATAAAATCGATGTCGTTTTGGATAATTTCGATGTTGCATGTGGGACAATGACCCCAAATGTTTTCTTTTATCTTAGATCTAAACATACTCACACACACAAGTTCGCTTACATGCATGCAACATCGAAAGCTCAGTCGTTTTGATTAGTTGCGCTATAAAAGAGCTCCATGTGGCAGCTAAAAAAGAGAATATATATGTTTCCTTATAAGATATAGAGAGATTAAGACTTTTAAAATTATGAAGAACTCTACTAACTTAAATTATAAATATATCTAAAGTTAAAAACTTCATCAAATTTTGCATGTAAAAGATCATTTAATCATGTTTTGACGAGCTTCGATTTGATATCTATGTTTCACATGTAAAACAAATAAATAGATATATTATTCTTTATTATAAAATTAAATACTTCATTCTTAATAGTTAAACATTAATAAAACTATATATCAATTCAAAATGTCATCTATAAATCATGACATATCACTTTAAAAATTATTATAATGTAAAACGGGCAAATTGCATATAATGCAAGTCTCATTTTATTAATAATAATATAATTATTTAAAAAGTATGTGAAGTTTAAATAAAAAAATTCCTTCTTACCTTTTTTTTTTGCTAAAAAATATCAATATAAAATTTCAAATAGAATCCGTGTAATCACGGGTACTGTACTAGTTACATAATTAATGTCAAGCTTAATGATTTATTACCATAATTAACCTAAAAGATAGTGGAAAAAGAAAAAACTTATCATAAATTGTTGCCTACAATTATATATATAAGGTCCATGTGGTTTGATGGATTCTACATGATATCTCACCATTTTATAACATATTCATCCTATTAACATGTTTTGTTCCAATAAATAAGCCCTTGAAATAAGTCATGACCCGATAAATTATTAATATCTTTCAGTATTATGCATCCCACCTTTTAGGTAGAATGGGTAATATATCCTTATTTTACTTTTAAATTTACACAAATACCCTCACATCTATCACAAATTCACAACATCAACATACACAAGTGAATTACAGAGTCAATGTCGATCAATCTTGATGTGTTGCAAGTTGCAACAATGGAAGTTTCTCCGAGGAGTGATCCTTCATTGCGGTGTCTATGACAGTCGAAAGACTTGCCTTCATCTGCCTCTGCAGCCCGTCGGCACCACCTTGTCCTCCTTCAACCCTAGCTCTAACCTGGAAATTCCCAAATCAAATCCTGAGCCCTCCTCTAAATCTCTCGCCGAGGAGCAGAAGTGCAGAACAAGACGATGGAGGAGATTGTTTCTCAGCGGCGAAAGAGACTGATGGATGGGCGGGTGATTAGGGTTGTTATGGCTCTTGTTATTATTATTGCTTGCAACAGAGCAATTTTCATTTCCCCCCAAAATTTTGATCTGGAAGTAAAATTGCACTGAAAAATTGGTGTAGGGAGGGATGAGAGATTGGGGCTAGGGTTGGAGGGATTGGGTGGCATTGAACACAACCAATGATGGCGACGACTATGAGGTAGTGAATGACGGAGGAAGCAATGACATGGCAGAACGGTCAGCGACAGGGTGCGATGGAGATGATGACGGTCTGGACTGAGAGGAAGGCGATGAAGAACTCAGAGCAATATCTAGTTGGCGGGTATATTCTGAAAATTTAATTTTAAATGAAGGGTAAAAAAGTCATTTTAACCTATAGAATATAATTATCAACCCTATACCAAATATGTTAATGGACTAATTGAATTAGTGGATAGCCTTTGATTTTATCAAAAAGATTATATCATGGTTTAGAAAATCGGACCGGGCCAGCCTGTCCGATTGGGAACCAATTAGTTAATTGGTCCGATTCGATAGAACGAATCGGTTGCCAGCGAACCGGTAAAAAATCGGTAAATGATCGGTTGAACCGATCAAAACTGGCCAGGTCGGACTAGTTTGAAACGGTCCAGTTTTTTTTAATAATAAATTTTATATATTTAAAAATATTTTTAATATGAATAAAAATACATATTTAAATATAATGAATATATATATAAGTTATATTTATTAGTTTAAGTATTTGAATGTTTTAAAGTGACTTAAATTTAATTAACAAAGTTTTATGTATAAATATTATTATATAAAATATTATATTATATATGTTTAAAAATATTAATAAATTAAATATCGATCCAATCGCTTCATTAATTCGTACCCCAGTTTCGAAGTTAGAGTTTTAGATCGACATATGCTATGGAACCAGCAAACCATTAAATCAATGAAAAATACTACAAATACATAATAAATGTACATAGAGGTGTACATAACACTCACATGAGGAGTCCACTTGATTTTTTATTTTTAATCGATCCCACTCAATGTGAGTATTATGTACACACCTATGTATAATATCATGTACCTATAGAATTTTTCTAAACCAATAGCTTGAATGATTAGTCCGATTCTTGGACAGAAGCTGTAGTAAGAGAAGGGAAGACATTGCAAAAAAGGAGGTTAAGGAAGGCCAATACGGGGATTGGGTCAAAGCAGTAGATAGAGGGATATCGGTGGATTATCAGTCTCCAAGTAAAGAGGCATCATCAAAAGATAATCAGAATCATAGCACCCAATTTACTGAACAACAGGAGGATCCAGCACAGAATCTTAGAGAATCCACTAGCAAAGAAGACAGTCAGGCTAGAGGATCCAATGAACCTGCTCTCCACAAGAGGCAAATACTGGCTATGGTGGAGTTCTCTACATCTGCAGTACAAGGGGAGAAAGAAGTGCAACCATCAGTAGAAACTGGTGTAGAGCAGCAAGCTCTGATGCAAATAGAGGAAGCAGATACCATAGGAGAACAACACCAATCCAGTCCAATCAATCAGCAAATGGTGGAGTTCAAACATCCTGAGAACCTCACACTTACACTCAGAAAGACATGGAGGAGAAAAGCAGTAAAAGATGGGAGGTTAATTAGAAGCTCAACATCCATGGAGACAGAACCAATGCAGATGGGACAAAAACGACCCCAACCTGAGGAGCAAGTTATCAACACTTCTGAAGAAGGTACTAATCCTGCTACTGTACCTCAAAAGAAAGCTAAGTTGAAAGGGAAAATGGTGGAGGTGGCCAGCCATAATGGGCCCCAAAGTGACAAATGAGGGCTGTAGTGTGAAATTGTAGAGGGCTGGGTGAGCCCTCTACAGTTCCCCAATTGCGAGAGGCCATTGGGTCTCATCACCCAATTTTTTTTTTTTTTTTTTTTGTCAGAAGTTAAGAAACAAAAATGTTATGTTGCTAAGATTTGTAAAAGGCTAGGGTATGAAGGGTGTTGGTAGTATCATGAACCCTAGGGAACTAGAGGAGGATTACTCTTATGTTGGAAAAAGAATATGGATATTATAGTTTTGAATAGTTTTGAATGGTGCATCCAAGTTCAGTATAAGGTTAAAGAATCTGATCAAAAGGAATGGGCCATTTTTGTTTATCTTAGTACTAATAAACAAGAGAGAGTATGGCGGTCGCAAGTCTTGATGGAGGAGAACAGGAAATGGGGTGATAGCTAGGTAATAATGGGAGATTGGAATGATATCAGCTGTCAGGAGGAGAAGAAAGAGGGCAGAGCTAGACCCAACAGTAGTTTCCAGGGATTCAATGAGTTTATTGCAAGAATGGGCATGTACTTGCTTCAGATGGATGGGCATAAGTACACATGGGGGAATAACAGGGAGAAAGAGGGGTTTGTGGAGGAGGTACTTGATAAAGCCTTTGCCTCATACCAGTGGATGACCAACCACCCTCAAGCCAGAGTTAGAAACATGTTCAAAAGTGCATCAGACCATAATATGTTGCTAGTTGAAGATGGTCATAAGCCAATGGGTAAGCAAAAAAGGTTTCACTTTGATAAACGGTGGATTCAGAGGGAGGGGCTGCAAGATACTGTGGAAAATGCATGGTCTGAAGAGCAACAAGGAACTCCTATGTTCATTCTTAAGGAAAAAATAAAAACTAGGATGGCTCTTAATTCATGGAACAAAGCTCTCAAGTCAGACAACAGGGAAACTATTGGCAACCTCACACTGCAACTGGAAGAATTGAGGAAGCTAGGGGTGATAGGAATTGGGAGGAATGGGACAAACTTCAAAAGAAACTGGATATTGCTCACTGCTCTGAGGAGAAATTCTGGCTTAAAAAATCCAGGATCCTATGGCTCAAGGAAGGGGACCGAAATACAATGTTTTTTCATGCTATGACTATGCAAAGAAGGAAACAGAATGCTATAACTAGACTGATAGAGGGCAACAGAGAACTCGAGGTGCTGGTGAGATTAAAGACCATGTCCTCAGATTTTATGATGACCTTTTTACCACATAAGGTTCACAACAAGAAGCAGCAGCACTGCAGCACATAGAGAGGGTCATAACCCCAGCCATGAATGCCTCTCTAACAGCACCAGTGGGAGAAATAGAAATCCAACAAGCACTTTTCCAGATGAATCCCTCCAAGGCTCCAGGAGAAGATGGCATGACTGTAACGCCCCGTTTAATTATAGATTTATTGGGATTATTATAATGATTATTTATTTTTATTATTATTATTTATTGTCATTATTATTAATATTATTATGAATATTTATTTAATGTCTAATTGTAATTATTTGCCTAAATGTGTACTTGTATTATTATTACTATTATTATTATTAAATAATGTGTGTAATAAAATAGATTTTGTCCGGTTTATTTTTAATTGCGAAATCGAGCCCGAGAACCCGAGTCTTCGAAACTCACGCACAAGAACCGGCCCGATAAATTGAGAAACCCGCGAGCCCGAACCACGCTCCAGCCCCGACCCGGTCCGCCCATGAGTGTGTGTGTGTGTGGGTGTCTTGAAGATTAGGAAAGGATTAACCCTAATTGCATAATAAAAACCGTGCCTTTAATCCTCTCTCCTCACCCTCATTCACGCGCAGCTTTTTGTTCTCTCGTCATCCTCCTCATATCAGCAGAATCAGAGGAAATAAAAATCTCACGACCCTCGTTCATCGTTTCCATCTCCCTCCCTTCTCCTCCCGTCGTGTCTGTTCACAGCGAGAATCGCCCGTCGCCATAAATCTCTCATCTTCTCTCACAAGAAAGCTCCGTGGCTCCATCACCCTCCCTCACCGCCACCTGCAACTGCACCTCCGCGAGCCGCCGTCGCCGCTGCACTCCTCCGTGAGCCCTTCTCCTCCGGCGATACACCCAGCAGCAGCGCGCCTGAGATTCCCCGAGTCCAGCAGTGACGTCTTCTTCCTGTTCGTGCGCAACACCAGCCCCATCGTGCGATTAACTCCAGCCCTTCGATCGCCCGTCATCCCCTCAGTTCGTCGCCGGGACCATCTGTGCGGGATTCCTCTGTCCGGGCAAGGATTCTTCCAGCGAGCAGCCCTCCGTTCACGTGTTGCAGGGGAGGCTCGAGCACCTCTTTTCCCGATCAGTAGTGGCGTCATTTGCACAGTCGACTCCCGACCAGCCTGGGAGGAAACCACGTCCAAGACCGATTCACCTGCCGAGAAGAAAAGCCGGACAGTAGCAACAACCCTTTCTAGCTCGTGCGAGAATAACGGCAGCCGTTCGAGGCCTTTATTGAACACCGAGGGCCCCGATGAGCTCGTAACCCAGCAGCAGCGACGCATTTTCTCCTCCCGTGCAATGAGCTCTCCTCTTTCGCGAGACGAGTTTTCCGTCGAGCCCGTTCGAACCCTTCTCGCCCGATTCTTGAGAACGGTATCGAGACCCGTCTTCCCGTTTATTTTACGTAATTATCGTTGTGTTATATGATGATATGTGAATTCGTATAAGTTATGTGATTATATGTTCGATATATGTGTTCGATTAGAGAATATGTGAAAATCGTGAATTTATATGAAATATATGATTTTATGTGTCGTTTATGTTGTTCGGGATCTCTTCAATTATGAGAAATTGAACGAGACCTCGAAAGTCGTGTAAGTCAGTGGATATTGGAACAAAGTCGAGTCCTTGGTCTTACGAGAAGGCCTCGGACGAGAAATTTCATGTTATGAATTAATTGCTAAGTTGCCGAGCATATATGTCGCTGTTTTGGTGTTTGAATTTTTTTATAAATCGCACACTGCTCGGAATGACTTGAAATTTTGAGAGATATGTTATCTTTTCATTTCCAGCCTTGTGTAAAGATTTCGTAATTTTTAGAGGCCTGTAGCTATTTTTAATAATTAAAGTGAATTCTGATCAGAATATTGTTTAATGCTTAATAAATTGGTTTGTGTTTGAAATGAGCTGAAATTTTAGTATGTCATGCCTTTGTGATGTTTATATGTTGTGTTAAAGTTTTAGAATTTTTGGACTTGATTTGATATGGTTAATAATTTATTTATCAAATCTGCTGAAAATAGTTTGAATTTTTATAAGGGTTAATTGCTAAATAAACCTCAACCTTTTTACGTTTGGCAATTTTATCCCAACCTTTAGATAATTGCATTATAATCTCAACCTCACTTTACTAATTGCAAGTCGAACCTTAAATCGGTCGGACATTCCAAAAACGCCAGCGTGTCCGGCAGCTTACATCTACGTGGTTTTTTCGGCTTGCGTGGATATACAGAAATTGTTTTATTGTCAATTAAACTGAAATTAAGAAAAGAAATTTGGAAACGATAAAACAAAGAAGAAGAAAAGGAATCTGAATTCGTTTCGTTTTGTATACAACATTTCTGGGATCTGCTTATTTATCATTAAAATTCTTTTAATGCTGATTAAACCAACATTAAGAACTGTTGTATCTGTTCGCAACTGCAAACTGGAATCTGGGATTTGAACCCTTCTCACTGTCGCCCGTCTGCCGTTCTCCCGTCCTCGACGTCGCGCCTCTGCCGTCGATCATCGCCGCTGAGGCTGGATACCGGAAAACGCGCGTCCAAGGGCCTCTGCCGCTGGGCGGCTGAACTTCATTAAAAAAAAAAAGGGGAAAGGAAATCTGGGATTTGGAATCTCGTTCCGTCAGTCATCAGCCCTCCCGCCACTGTTGCGCTCGGCGTCTCTGTGGCTGGACACCAGAAAATCGAGCTTGGAGCTCAAAGGCGCCATTAATGGCGGACGCATATACTCAAAAAAAAAAAAAAAATTGGTGGTTTGACCGCCCCATGAGAAATCCGGCGAGTGGACGTTGGCCTAGGGCTGACGATACTTGTCGGAGGTTGTGGGACGCGAAAGGTGACGATGGGCGGCGACGGGAAAGCCTGAAAATAGGGTTTTGGGGCTAGGGACTTGGTTCTGAAAATTTGACAAATGTTAAGGCTGTTTTGCAATTTTCAAAAGTTTCAGTTAATTACAATTTGACCCCAGAGTTAAATCTGTAATTTCAAAACAGACCTGGGGTCTATTTCTAATTTTCAAAATTAGTCTGGTGCCTATGTGTAATTTTCTGTATATCCACGTAGCAAGCCGAAAATCCACGTAGATGTAAGCTGCCGGACACGCTGGCGTTTTTGGAAGGTCCGACCAATTTAAGGTTCGATTTGCAATAAGTAAAGTGAGGTCGAGATTATAATGCAATTATCCAGAGTTTTGGATAAAATTGCCAAACGTAAAAAGGTTGAGGTTTATTTAGCAATTAACCCTTTTTATAAATCGGTTGTTTGGTGACAAATTCTGAAATTTTACTGAGATGCCTATTTTGAGTGTATATTCATGCTGTTAAAAGATGAAAATTTTTGGAGTTCATTTTAGCCCTGTTCTGATTTAAATTCGATAACTGCAGAATCTTGCATGAATTTTTAAAATTATCACAGTTAATGTCCAGGACTGAGATTTTTACATGTTGTCTCTATCATGCTGTAGCTTGTTGTGTTAAATTTTCAAGTCCTGAATCGTTCATTTGGTTCGGATATAAATTCATGTGCGTTTTTGCTGATTTCTCGTAGGAATTTTATAAATTAATGTGCTTTGAGTTTAAAGCTGAAAGTTTATGGTTTTACTTATTACTGGAAGATGTAATTTTTGTGTAAAAATTTCAGAGCCTAAGTCGAAGGGCAGCCTGGTCAATGAATTTCATGTGATTAATAGCTAGTAAATTTTTTTTAAACTATGATTTTGAAGTTAAATCTGTGATTGACTTGCTTTCCATTCTGTTGTGAGTTGAACTTGGTCTATCCTTAGATGGATTTATGTGATCTCCCATATATGGTCTGGTCGAGTATAGTGCTGAGTCTAAGTGTTCCAACGTCCACAGGACTTCACGAACTACTTAGTCGAAACAAGTTCGACTAGGTTTGTTTTGTGTTTTCCGATTAAGTCAAGATATTGATTGTAGGATCTTGACATAATGTAGGTGTTTGAGGAGTTAAGCCTCGACCTACTTCCATTGCTTTGAGTTATCATCAATCTGGAATCCAGGTGGGTTGTTATTCTAAAATTATCTGTGCAATGTGTGTTTAAATATGTGTTTCCGTTTTGGCGTGATCTATGTATGAACGTGAATATGTAGCCTATCGATGTGAGCTATTATGATGGCCATCGTTACGGTTGTCCCCGTCGATGTAATACGGTTGCCTTATGAGGCAAGTCTCCGTAAAGACCTATTATGAAAGGCCGTGTCCTTGCGTGGCACGTACTCTCGCCGTTAGGGTAATGAATCCCCTTTCCGCGACTATTATGAAAGATGTGCACAGGAGTATTTATGTTATGATGGAGATGTGACATATGTGTATTGTTTATGTTCATGCTGCGACCATGCCAATTTGACATATTATAAATGTGCATTGCATAGTGTGAGTACAATAGTTAACTGTACTCACTCCCACCTGCTCGTAACTGATGCAGGTTAAGCAGTGGCGCGTGACGAGACAAGACGGGTGGTGGTCATTGCTTATCATGCTTATTTATTATGATTATTAGATTGCTTCCGCTTATTTATGAACTATGTTGGTATTGAACTTGTTTGGATTGGATTTTGAACTTGTTCATTTTGGAAAACTTTCGGATTTGGTTTACGATGAAAAACCCTACTTGATATCTGATTGAGTATGATCTGATGTTAAATTTAACGATTTATGTGGTTAATGAAAATCGTTGAAAAATCGGGTAATGAATCCCCGTAGTTCAGTTATGACCTGAACTGTATTTATGAAAGGAATGAGTAACGTCAAAAATTTATGATTCGAAAAATAAGTTTCGAAAATTTTTACCTTGATTTTTGGAAAACCCATGGATTTTCTTTAAAAATCATTTGGGGCGTTACAATGACAGCCCTTTTCTATCAACACTTCTGGCCTTTGTTGAAAGAGGATTTGTGTAAAGCTGTGAGGAGTTTCTTTGAATCAGGACAGCTACTGAGATACTGGAACCACACATTAGTTGCTCTAATCTCAAAATGTGTGAACCCTGTCTCCATCACTAATTTCAGGCCCATCAGCTTATGTGGAGTGGTGTACAAGTTGATTACTAAAATCTTGGCCAACAGGCTGAAACTTTGCCTTGATGTGTGTATCAGCAAAGCCCAAGCTGCTTTCATACCTGGAAGACAACTCATGGACAATGTGGTCATTGCACAGGAAATTTTTCACTTCCTCAACAGACATAGGACAGGTAAAAATTGTTTCATGGCACTTAAGTTGGACATGCTTAAAGCATATGACAGAGTGGAGTGGGGAAGTGTGTGTAAAACCATGCAGAAATTAGGATTTGGTACAACTTTTGTCAAGTGGATCTTTGCTTGCATCTCTACACCAGCTTTCTCCTTTCTGATCAATGGGAAAGCTGTGGGCTACTTGAACCCCTATAGAGGGCTGAGACAAGGGGATCCAATATCCCCTTATCTTTTCCTAATCATCTCTGAAGTGTTCTCTTCACTAATTCAAGGGGCTGTGGATGTAGGGGCTTTTAAAGGGCTCAGAATTGCAAAAAATGGACCTACTCTCACTCATTTGCTATTTGCAGATGACACATTAATCTTTTGTAAGGTTGAGCCACAACAAATCAGAGTGCTGAGGAACATTTTGCAAATTTACCAAAGCTTCTCGGGTCAGAAGGTGAATTTACATAAGTCCACTGTGTTCTTTAGCAAAAATACAACACCTCAGCTGAAGGCAACCCTCTGTCAGATGTTGCAAGGTATTGAATGCCATGCTTCCACCAGATATCTTGGTCTGCCCCTCGGCATAGGAAAATCCAAGAAGGAGACCTTTGAGTACATACTTGAAGCTGTGAAAAAAAGACTGTCAAGCTGGAAAAACAGATACCTCTCTACAGCAGGTAAAGAGGTATTAATCAAATCAGTAATAAATGCCCTTCCAGTCTTGTTTTCAATGGCATGTTTTAAGCTTCCAATGGGCATATGTGAGGAGCTGAGCAGACTTACAGCCTTTTTCTGGTGGAGTAGGGGAGACAACCTGGACAGAGGAATACATTGGAAGCAGTGGAACATTATTGCTCAATCCAAAAGCTATGGGGGCCTTGGGTTTCAGGATTATAAATTGTTTAATGAGGCAATGCTGATGAAGCAACTATGGAGAATCACAACTATGCCTGATTTGCTAGTGAGTCAAGTGCTGAAATCAAGATATTATCCATCCTTTTCAATATTTGAAGTGCAGAGGACTCCATCAGCCTCTTGGCTTTGGAATAGCTGCGTAGATATGCTGCCATTGTTTGCTAAGGGACTGCAGAGAGAAATTAGAGATGGGAAGCTAACAAAAGTTCAAGATCCCAGCTGGGTTCCAAAGCTACAACAGTGTGGACCAACTCTTGTGCCTTCTGAGAGGGGGGCACCAATTTGGGTTAGTGATCTAATGAGTGAAGAAGGCACAGCTTAGAATGAGGGGCTTTTGAGGCAATTATTCTGTGACAGAGACAGAGAAGCTATCATGGAGATCAACACTCTTGCTCCAGATGAACCTGACAGATGGAAGTGGGCCCTTGCTGTTAATGGAAAATTTTCTGTAGCTAGCTCCTACAACCACTTGATGACACAGAAAAACCTTAAGCTGGACATAGCAGAGGGAAGTTGTTCTGCTTTGAGTGACAGAAGAACAAGGGAAAGAACTTGGAGCATGAGAGTTAAAGGGAAATTGAAACACTTCTCATGGAAGTGCATCACAGGGTCTTTACCAGTGGGAATCAATTTGGTCAAGAGAGGAAGAATGACCCTATCTGTAAGATGTGTGGGGAGCAGGCTGAGTCTACTGAACGTCTTCTTCTCAACTGTCGTAGGGCTCAGTTGGTTTGGAAGTTCACCCCGCTGGAATGGGAAGAAGAAAATATGAAGACTCACTCATTTAAGTTGTGGTGGTGGCAGGTTTGTGATCTTAACAAGTCAGAGATAGCCGAAGACCGCATTCAGTTATCAACTTATATTTTGTGGTGGCTATAGCGATCCCGGAACCTTTTGGCTGTTGTTGGGTTGAGGGAAAGGCTCGGTGGTTGTATCCCCGCTTTTTCTCATGTTGTTGGTTTGTTGTGTCTAGATCACTCTTTGAGTGTATCTCCCATTGTAGTTGTAAGTGTGTTCGAACTTTGTTCGGTTTTCCGTTTATATATATATATTTTCTATAGTTTGGAAAAAAAAAAAAGAAAAAAAAGAGAGATTAGTCCGATTCCATTCCCCTCTCTCCCCTATGCAATTAGAGCATGATTGGTATATGGGAATGGACCATGAATGGAATGATCATTCCTTATGTGATTCCTATTCCTATACTTGGTATGTTTTGTTGCCAAGGAATGACCATTACCATGGAATCACTATTCCCATGATTATGGGATTATTCATTCCTCCCATAACCCATGGTTTTAGCCATTCCAATTCCATTGGGAATGAATATATTAATTTCCTTTTAACAAAAATATCCAAAATTACTACGCATCTGAAAAAGAACCCTTCATCTTATTTGTTCATTCATCTTTTCATCTTCTCAAACTCAAAAACCACGCATCTGAAAAAGAAAAAATTCACACCACCGGCCTTCATCACGACCCCAGGTAAAAATTCCGACCTCAAACATCTTTTTTTTTTTTTCATTTTTTAATTCCAATTCTTATGTGTATATACACGCAGTAGAAATCAAATTAGAATTTTAATCTGTTAGTTTGTTTTTATTTTTGTCCAGTATGCTATGTTTTTTGCCGAAAGACTAATTTTGGCCAATTTTATGTTCGTCTTTAACGGTCTATTTTATTTTATTATTTTTTTTGCCATTTGACTTAATTAGGATGCCATGTGAATTCAAAAGTAGGAAAAATATACATGTTCATGTTTTAATGTTTTCTCTATTTCTTAAGTAATTAGCGTGACTTATATATATATATTTAAACTTGGGTTAAGCATTAATATTTTTCTGTGCAATTTTATTCTTTATTTTGTTCAACTTAATGTGCAGATGAATCCAAAAAAAATCAATTGATGCTAATAAGTATTTTTTTAATTATATTTGCAGTTATGGCAAGACTAGGATTAACACGAAAATTGATAAGGAGAAAAAAAAGTATAGCAAGTTTGTCATTTTGGACGACCATAATGCAACTTATAAACTATTTTTGGCTTATAGTTATTGACCGAGTAAAATATTATTACAAGCATGCTATTTTGAAACCCGTTTATCACTATGATTTTTATGAGAGGAGAAAGTACATTCAAAAAATAATATATACAAGTGATAGCGTGTGCAAGAACGTAACAAGAATGAATAGGCAAGCTTTTCATCGTTTATGTTCTAGACTTGAAGCAACTAGAATGGTATTTGCAACAAAAAACATGCTAGTTGATGAACAAGTTGCTATCACATTACATATTTTGGCCCATCACCAAAAACAGAGAGTTATAAATGCAAACTTTGAGCGTTCTGGGGAGACAATAAGTAGACACTTTCGGCAAGTGATAAATGCTATTATAAGAATTCAAGAAGAATTGCTTAAGAAACCCGAGGCTGTTCCAGATGATTCTACTGATGAAAAATGGAAATGGTTCAAGGTATGTTATTTGGTCTACAAATAAAAATATGATAGTGTAAATTATTGTGCTTATTCTAGCTTTATTATAATAGGGTTGTTTAGGTGCTCTAGATGGTACTCATATCAAGGTTCGAGTGCCTGCACTAGACAAACCTAGATACCGCACACGTAAAAATGAAATTGCTACAAATGTATTGGGAGTGTGCTCCCAAGATATGCAATTTATCTACGTGTTGCCAGGGTGGGAAGGTTCAGCAGCCGATGGTAGAGTGTTACGAGATGCAATAACTCGGAGAAATGGCTTAGTGGTTCCTCGTGGTAAGATGAATAAATCTAGTTCAATTAAGATAAAAAAAAAAAATACATGCCAAAATAAGAAAAAAGAAAAAAGAAAAAACTGAATAATTTATACTAATGATATTTAATATAACTTCAAGGTACGTATTATCTTGTGGATGCTGGGTATACAAATGGTGAAGGATTCCTTGCACCATTTCGAGGCCAAAGATATCATTTGAATGATTGGAGAGAAAGACACATGCCTACCACTGCTGAGGAATTTTTCAATATGAAGCATTCTTCTGCTAGAAACACAATAGAGAGAGTTTTTGGCTTGATAAAGACTCGATGGGGAATCTTGAGAAGTTCTTCATACTATCCTATAAAAATTCAAAATCGCATCATCATGGCATGTTGCTTACTTCATAATTTCATTAAGCAAGAAATGGGTGGTTACGATGATGAGGAAGATATAGAAAATCAACAAGCTAATAATGACATAGATGAGGATGAAGACCTTGTAACTACGATCGAACCTTCTACCGAATGGACTACTTTTAGAAGAAACCTTGCTACTAGTATGTTTAACACATGGATAGCGCATAGAAACTCTGCATAATTTATTTTTTATATTGCGAGTGGAACAATTTTTGTTAGTATGTTTATATTGCACTGTATGTGATATAATTTTTATTGATTACATCTTTAGTGTCAAACTTTTGGATTCTTTATTTATTAATTCATGTAATGGATTATTTGTTAATTCATGTGATGGATATTTTTCTATTAATAATCTTTATGGTCAATTTGTGTTTGCCTTCTAAAGCATGGATCATCAACCTCAAGAAATAAGAGGTCGTGGTAAGAACAAAAGAAAATGGAATAATGAGGAAGATGCTAAACTTGTGGATGCACTCCTTGATATGGTAAATCTTGGAACCTATAAGGCTGAAAATGGGTTCAAACCTGGCTACTTGAACTTTGTCGAGGACAAGTTGCGAGTCTCATTGCCTAACTCTGGTTTCAAGGCTAAACCACATATTGAGTCAAGAATTAAGACATTGAAAAGAGATTTCAATATTGTGTATGATATGTTAAATGGTCCAAATACAAGTGGATTTGGTATGGATCCGATAAAAAAATGCATCGTAGCCGAAAAGGCCGTATGGGACTCTTACTTACAGGTACTTATACAACTACATATGTTTGTTGGCTTCTGTCAAATTATGGTATATTGCTTTTTATTTTATTTTATTTTTTCATGGCTAAGAAAATTTGTAATGTGTCATGGTCTCATGTATCAGTATATAGCTTCATGTATCATGGTCTCATAATTTGGGTAATCATGGACTTTGGTTTCAGATTTTACATTTTTTCATTTCATGTTTATTTCACATGTTTTGTGTATACATTATATAGTCATATAGTAATACATCAATAGCATAATAATTCAATTCAATTATTCTCATAAGATATTTTTATTATTGGTGTCCCAAGAAATATGTATGTTAGTTTAACTGAAGTATTTGATTAACTATATATCTTGTTAATCTCTATTAGTTATTCTTTTTTTTCTTGTGACACAGAGTCATCCTACCCATGGAATTTGGCAAAATAAGGCTTTCCCCATGTATGACGACTTAGTCATTATTTTTGGAAAAGATCGTGCTACTGGAGGAAATGCCGAAGGTCCTAATGATATGATGGAAGAGATAGAAAGGGAAGATGTCAATCCTAATGCTGGTAATGACGTCGAAACAACAACCGAAATTGGTCTTGATGATTTAGATGCTTCATTTTCTCCACTACAGTCCCCAAGATCTGCAACAGTTGACAAGAGGAAGAAAAGAAAAAGAAGTGTTGATAACTTGATGCCTATGACAGACATAAAGGAAGCAGCTTCGATTATTGGAAGTGAAATTGCTAAAGCTAGTGAAATTTTTGGTAAAGCAATTGGAGTTGATGCTGAAATTTCAGAAAAGAGACAAAGGATTGATTCAGAGATAAGAAAAATTCCCGATCTAGCTGTACTAGATGTTATTAAAGTGGTGTGTCGTATCGCTCAATCGCCCGAGTTAACCGACGTGTTTTTTAGCATGACTGAAGAAGGAAGAGAGCAGTTGGCTAGAGCCATCATAAGTGACCAAGTTTAAATCACCTATTTTTATTTTTTCTTATTTTCAGACCTATAATATCTTCACTAGTTATTTTATCTTTTAGAATTTTTTGTTGAATGATACATTCGTACATTTGCTTATTTTTGTCACGTTTTGAGATTATTTTATGATTACAAGTTTACTTTTTTCTAATATTCAGTTTGTTAAATTGTAGCAAATTTTGAATGATCTTTATATTTAAGAAGATTATTTATTAAAATAATTTAAATATGTATTAACTTTCCTTAACATTTTTGTACATATTTCTAATGCACAACGAAAATAAATCAACAAATTAATATATATTTCTCTTAAAAAGATAATTTATACTCTTTTATTAATGTAAATAATTGTTGTTAAAACTGAACATATTTTGTTGATATAGTGAAGGAATTTTTACATTACACACACTCATATAAATAAATAAATAAATAAATAAATATATATATTTGCAGATGCCAACAGTTAATTTTTAATTACCAATCATGTCAATGGTATCAAGTCAGGAATAAGTGTTTCAATCCTTGCCAATACCAATCGCAGGTATGGGAATGCTTATGGCTTTCCATTCCAGTTGTCATTCCTTTCCATAGCTCATTTCATTCCTTCTTAATTCCATTCATTCATACCAATCATGCTCTTACTGATTTCCTTTGACATTAATTAACGGATAGGAATGGGATATATCTGTAATTTACCCTAGCACAATTAATCGAGTTTCGGGGTTTCCATTGTCCTGCATAATCCTCGAGGAACAAAGGAAAGAGAGAGAAAGAGAGGGAATTGCAGAAATGATTCGAACGAGATTGTTATGGTTCAGTCTGGGCTTTGCCTCTACCTCTGGAGCCATCGCCCAATTTATTTTCAAAGATCTATGGCTCGAACGCCATTCTCTCGCTTCTCAGGTGATCCACCAACTTGTGTGTGAACCTTAATCATACAGCCCATCGATCTATGTGTGTATGTATTTCTCATAGTGTTTTGGTCTGTAATCGTATGTGCAGTTGAAGGAAAATTTTAATTCTTTGGATGCGAGAGTGTCCAATCTGGAATCAGTCATTTCTAGCAAACCCTCACCGGTCCAGGTTTTCGTTTTTTTCCTTTGTTCTCTCGCTGCCCTTTTCGCCATCCTTGTTCATTTTATTGCAGTTTTTTTACGTGAATTGGAAATGGATTGATTGTCTGAATGAGTGAGATATATTGTATGTATTAGATGCTAAAATGGTTGTTGCTTTGGAATTTGCATCTGTTTCTTGTGGTTTAGCAAGTAGGGACTGTGTCCCATACTCCATAAAGCTTGAATTGTGCAATTTCTTCTTCTATTAGTGAAGTTTTTAGAAAAAAAAAATATATCAAATGGCGCAATGCACCTTGGGTCGCTACGGAAACAACCTCCTTGTACAAGGGTAAGGTCTGCGTACAACTGACCCCCCAGACCCCAACCTGTTGGGAATATACTGGGTATGTTGTTGTTGTTGTTGTGTGTATTTTGTTTAGATACTCCACGCTGCTTGAAATGCACAATTTTGTTTGTTTATTTGCTTTTTTTAATTGCGCCAACGAATAGAAGCTAATCGTTAAATGAACCCCTGTTCTATTTATGAACAAGTTAAGTGCTTTACTTTGCATACAACTTTGTGACAAACAAACTTAACTTGGTAGAACATGTAACAGTCAAGAAACGTGTATTAGCTCCTGCTATTCTGATATCAGTAAGATAATATAAAGATTAATGACAAACTGTTGAATCTTCTCGAATTTTCTTTGAATTCCACATATAAGACAACCCACTTTAAGCAAAAAATGCACAACTCTATTCTGGGTACAGTATTATATAATCTTTTAAAACCTTATTTTAATGATATGTCCGCATACGTGAACACATCCTACTGTAACCCAATATTTTTTCAACCGATTATGCTTTGTGCATTTAGTTTTCATAGAATTTCCCAAATAAGGTTACGTGCGATCTCCAACTAACCCATTGTTTACGAGGACTTTCAGGCCTTCAGTGTTGGTCTTATTTGAGATTTGATCTTTCCAATTCTAATGCAGTCTTTTCAAGC